CTTTTCCATTTCATATCTAGAGCTAAAGCATTGTGTTCTCATGTGTGGAATGTAGCTGCAGTGTATGTAAGCAGCAGGATAACAATGTTCATGAATTTTTACATGTTTTTTTCCATTTATAATTGTAAGACAGCCTCGCTTTCCTCCTTCCATTTCTAACTTTAGGTGTGTGATTTAAATTATGTTAACTAGTCGTTGAGACTTTAAATCACTTTTACGATATGAAAGAGGTGTTATTATGTGACACTTACATATATTTTGTGTGTTATTCTTTTCTGTCCACTAGGAGCTGGTGAAACACACTCATGATGCCACAGACAAGAGCAATCTGCGAACGGCACTGGATGCCATGAAGGTATATCATCAGTTTATGTCCACTAGGGCTGTGTATTTGCAAGAATCTGGCAATACGCTATGTATCTGAGAAATTGTAATGCAGCGCATTTCTTTTTTTATATAATTTTTTTGAAAAAAAAATGAATATAGAGGAGACACAGCCATATGCATACAATCTAAGTACAAAAAGTTTATATTTTTGCAATCACAACAGTGGAATCTGCCTTTTATTACAGTGTACAGACAATTGTGTTCATATAGATTCGAGTAAATACGTGAAAATGATTGAAAATGACCTTTAAAAGGAGTGCTTTATTGTTTTTCAGTTTGTTGGTTAACTTACTGCTGAAGTCATTCCATTCATTAAGGCGCTGTAAACCATAATAAGATATCATTAATATCTGTGTGAAATATTATTGTCCCTCATTCGAGTGACATGTTTGCATCCTGCTATTAAAGCAATTGTGTTGGCTCACAAACTAACATGATCATGTCCAAAAAGCAATATTACACTTGATTTCAAGATATTGCATGTCCACAACTTTTGACTGCACATGAATAAATAAGTATTCCAATACAATCCAGCACATATAAGTCCTGCTCATTTTATAGCCCTGAAAGGCTGCTTACTTGCCTATTGTCAAATACAGTGTCTCATTGGAATTAACAAGCCCACATCAGTAATGGTTCCTTTTGAAGGAGAGAAAAACAGCACAAAAATAAAGAAAACCTTAGCACAGGAGGGGGAAGAAATGAAAGGAAAAAAAGGAAAGAATTTGTTTTTTGATGATTTGTTTACAGGACTTGGCTCAGTACGTCAATGAAGTCAAGCGAGACAATGAGACAATGCGCGAAATAGATCAGTATCAGAAATCCATTGAAAACCTGGTAAGCCACCTGTTTCTTCCAAATAATTAGATTCTGATCTCCTTTTTGCAGTGCTTTCTTTCCAATGGATTTAATTCCTGTCAGATCCCACCCAATCTTTTCTGTCTCTTTTTCTGTAGAATCAGCCTCTGAGTAACTACGGGAGACCCAAAGGTGATGGCGAGGTACGGGTGGCCTCGGTGGACAAACGAGCTAAACAGGACAGGTGAGATGTCAGGTTGACATGCTGGTTGGCTAAAACACTGACTGACTGACTGCAGCTTAATCAGGTGCTGTAGTTGGAAAACTGCCAGAGTATGTGTTGCTTGAAGCCAAAGTGAAGTTAGAAACTTAACGTGTGTGTCTTGGAAGTGAAGGACTAAATAAAGTGAAGTACACGGGTATTTAGTTATGACCACACAGAGTTCCAGACAAACAGGTTGATAATGTTAAATTAATCTTATTTATTGATTTTATTATATTAGAAATAATGGATATTGTAGATTGAAGTTAGTGTGTCACGTAAGGGACACAATGATTTCCAAAAATGCAGTGGGTAGAGTAACATGAGTATATGCTCTCAATGACTTTGAAAATGTATTCTTATTTCATTTCATTTATTTATTATACAGGAAAAGATTAAGAGCAACATTAAATGTGTTATAGTCAAACTGGCCTGACTCAGTTGAAAGTGGTTCACATCACATTTCTGTTGTGTAGCACATACAAGTCAGAATCACATTACAATACATAATAAAAACAGAGATACAAGATCCAAAAAATAGCTATACACACATTACAGATGTGAGGACTTAGGTGGATTGAGCAAGTTGGTGTGTGACATCATCAGTGGTTGCGGATATGTCCTTCCATCAAATGGTATTCATATGGCATGTATAGCTGATTGAATAATTGGATGCTAAATTGATCTAGTGATGCATTTCTACCTTGTTTTGTGTCTTGAAAGTAGAGCAGTAAGTGTTGGAGGGGAATTATTGTTTTGGATCTGAAAGTAAAGTTGAATGGCTAGATTATTTATGTAGTTCTGGAAAGTCAGGGCATTGTGAAAGGGCAGTGCAGGGGTGAGGCCTGTTGTGAAGTGGAGCTTCTAATGACGACCAAGACACGTCTGGTTTTGAACGGAACACTTTACTTCCTGAAACTGCAGTATTACAACTGTTACAGTGAACAGACCGCGCTCTTGCACCCGACATATGGTTTTTCACTTATCATCATCATCATTGTTGTTAGCATCAATAAGACACGTACCATGCTACTTCTCGCTCTTCAAAGTAAAAGCACTTCCTGTTTCATGCTATTCACAATAAAAGTAAATCAGGTCAATTAAGCTTCTCACATCTACAGCTTAACAACATAAACAGTGTTACACAAGCAACATGAACCATATTAATTATGTTATGCAATCAAAACAATTCACAACAAGGCCTAAGGGGTAGTGCAGGGGTGAGTCCAAAGGGGCAGGTTGCCATGGATGTTATAAGCTCCTTTGTACTGTTTTGCTATTGGTTCAATGGTTTCTTTTGTAGTGAGAGACCAAATTGAGAGACAGGAGGATATACTAGGGGTATAGGAAAGGATAGGAGGCAGTTGAAAGAATGATTGCAAGATATGTGGCAGAAGCAGAGATAGTATGGGTAAGATATGGCCTGATCTTCTTATAAACATAACGTTTCTGTTTGAGCTTCTTCTACAAGTTACAAATGCTGCTCCGATAAGTGAGATGTGAGTCAAGGGATATTCCAAGTTATTTGTAAGTTTCTGTGATGGTTAGGGATGGTAGTGTTAGGGCTGGGTGATAATTCAATATGACAATTTATCATCTTTCAACTGTATCATTTTGTGATGAAATCATTTATCCAAATATTGTGAGATATAATTATGTTATCTAACTGATAATGACAAGCACATATTGTACAAATTCAAATTTCTCAGATAATCTGAAAATGTTCTGTTAAAGTTCTTAATTTAAAAAGAAAATACACAGTACTTTTCATCTGTCCAGTATTTAATTCACACAGGTGTATAAAAAATGATGTGGTTATTTAATATAGACCGTTTATTCATTGAATTACTAGAAAACACGCTATATCATGATATATATATATTGTTATTAAGATATACAATGACCTATATGGTGATAGAAGATTTTGAACATATCGCCTTGCAGTCTTTTCTGCTTCAGTCATAAGACATGGTTCTCTTCAAATCACAGGCACATCTTCCTGTTCGATGCCGCGGTGATCGTTTGTAAGCGGCGAGGGGACAACTATGAGATGAAAGAAGTGATCGACCTGCACCTCTTCAAAATCACCAACAACCCCACATCAGACAAGGAGAATCGAAAGGTCCACACACACAGATATGGTTTCTATTGAGACACATCCATCCATCCATCTATTATACGTAACTGCCTTTCCTGTTCAGGGTCGCGTGGGGGGGGGGATATGTTGATATGTTGACTTTTTCTGAACCAAAAAAACATTTCATGAACACGACATATCAGCCTCATATCACGCTTGCAGAAATGCACAATGACACGTGGTTAAGAAATGATTGCTTAGGTTGAGGCAACAATACTACTTGGATAAGGTTAGAAATAATTTCTGTTAAAATAATGACATAACAATTTGACAAAGTAACGCAACAACTGAACTACTGTAACTGGGCAACAACCATCCTTATCAGACTTTCTTATATAATGTTACGTAACAACTTTACCTAACAAGAGTGAAGTCAATGTTTACTCTCGGTTTTACACGGGACATGAACAGCGGTCTCCTGGGTGAAAGTCCTGTTTTGACCCATCAGCCACACCTTCTCCCCTTGCTATGTGGACTTCTTGCTTGTAATACTTTATCTACTCTCGTTCACAATGCCGGACAGGGGCTTAAAGTTGGGGGGCCCCCTACTTCTGGCGCCCTTGGCCTTGATCTCCTCAGACTGCATGAGTAGGTCTCCCAGGGGAATTACTCCTCCAGCATGTACATGCCAAAGAACATGTTTTTCATGTTTCACATCTTGCCATCACCTTGGAAAAGATATTGGCACACCCTTCAGTCATTTCAGGGCAGCAACACATCTTTTTGTGAAAATTTCCCTTTCGGTTCCAAGAGAGTTACTCAATTTCACTTTTGGCGAGGCCACAAAGATGATGTTTTAACTCAGAGATGCAGCAACAGTAACCTCAATTAAATCAAGCTGAAGTCAAAAATAAACAAAACAAGTAGTTTTCTTTCCTGCCGGGCTTGCGCGCCAAATTTATTACTCGTTTGCTGTTTCAAGTTGTGAAAGCAGACACATAGCGCTAATTTACAATTTACCGTTTTTTTGTACTTCCTTATTGTAGTGCACACTGAAATGAGGACTGACAAAATATCCCAGTAATTCTGGCAGCCAAATAGTTTATTTCTACAGTTAACACCTTTTAGTCCATATATATCACAACGGAGAGGAAAATGTCTAATTGTATTAGTTTTTTATTGGAATAAGGAGGCTTCAGTTTCTCAGGTCTGATTGGTGGTTATCATAGTGTGTTATCACCATTTTAAAAAAGCAATAAACTGTGGTGATTTACAGTGATTTTACAACAGCTAAAACAGCTTTTGATGAAATGTTATTTCACCAAGACTAAAACAATGTAGCGAGTGAATTCTACTTTTGCTCTTTTACTGTTTTAAAATACAGCATGTAAAAGTGTAACAATAATAACAGTACATACTTCTCAACATTCTGTAAAATAATAAGAACAAAACAAGCATCTCATATAACAACCAATCAGCTATAATGGAGGGAAGTCTTGCACTGTTGAGTCCATTATTGCCTCTTTATGACTAAGTCAGCAAAGCTCAGAAACCACATTGGACTCCTGACAAACCAATTAACAGTGCTACTTCAGCACAACGAACAGCCATAACAATTTATCAGATGAATGCAGGTTCATAAAATTGAGTAAAAATAAAAAGTATTTTATAAGCACCTGTACCAGCATCTACTCCCCACGTGTGCCCTGAATCCCTAATGTGCTGCTAAAATGAGCTACATGCAAAAATCTTTCCAGCTCATAACACAAACAAAAAAATAATCACCAGAAAAGACTCTTAGATAATTTGATACAGGCTTGTTCCAGCACATGTTTTACACTTTCTTGTTCATTCACCAGCATAAGCCTCCGCCCAGATGGTGTTATCATTAAATCTCGCTTTGGGCCTGACTACACACACACGCACCCACGCACACACACACAGACACACACACACACACACACACACACACAAACACACACACACACACACACACACACACACACATACACACACACACACACAAAATAAATACTAAATGCCAAGTGGTGAAAAATATTGCCAATCATAATGAGGGATGATATCTAAGGCGTGCCAGGAACAATGATTGGGATAATAATGATGTTGTAAATAGCAGACATTAGTAGGCTTATTCCCATATGGGCTTATAAAGTTGTATTTTTTATGAAACCTCACCTACCTCAGTATCATTCTCCTCTGACATAATGGATATGATGCAGTTTGTTTGATTACATATTTATTATGGACATGCCAAAGATGATCGTGGCTGTCGGAGAGAATTAGCAATAAGAACCTTCATCATACATGCAAGTCATCTGGAGGTAAAATCAAAATAATCTTGAAGTCTAATCATTGTACACAGCAGTGGGAAGCTTTTATGCTAGAGCTGATGGTTTGAGATTTTGCAGCTTTACATGTATTTCTGCTGCAAGCTGTGATAATCGCTGTTTTTATTACAACAAAAGATGAAATTGCTATGTGTAATCTGTAAAGTGTCGCCTGTAGTGACAAACCAACAGATAACCATTACCAGACTCTACTTGGCTAAATGGAGCATTACAGGTCATTGTTTTGGTTCTTCAGCTTTGCTTTTGTTTTTGGTGCACTCTCAATGCATTGTTAGTTGTTATCCAGAAAAAAGAATTGCTCTGAAACCCACAGTACCTGCACAGCACCAAATGGCATTGTTAGCAGCTAGCTAGTGAACATGCAGAGCATTTAGCAGCGAAAGAGCTAGATATTATCCTCTGGAGTTGGTGGAGACTAAAACAGAGCTAAAAGAAAAATGAATCTTGGACTTACATTCGCCAGGTGGATAGAAACACGACTCCAAATGAATTCTAATGTTGTTCAGTGTCTGCTGGATGTACAAATAGTCAGCTGTATGCTAAAAAGTGCACCACATCAATTTAAAAAGGTGATAATATGTAAGTGTTGTGTTCTCAGCATGTTTCTGCGGCACTCAAATGGCCCAAAAACTGTAATTGCAGAGTTCACTTGGGCACATTGACCGACGTGGTGAGAGGCATGAGCAAGGGTCAGATTGATTATATTTAAAAGGCAGGTAAACGAAGCAATGCTTTACATTATCCGTCTGGATGTGTGAACCTTTTCAAATTCCAAAGATACACCAAGCAAAATAGAATATAACTGACAGATGGACAAACACCTTCTCCTTCTTTTTACAAATTGGTTGCTAGAGATATCTCTGCTGAGCGTAGGTCTTGGTGTCCCCTGGGAATGCCTCTGTAGAGCATTGCTTTCCTTTTCTCTTTTCTTTCAATAGAAAAGATGAGCCTCTGCACTTCCCTGACAGCACTGTGAGCTTGGCATGTTTTTAGCCTTTAGAGTAGAGTGCTAGAAGTTCAAAACCCCACCTAGGAGCCATAAAAAGTGCATCTCACAAGCATCTGTTTAGTGAAGTCATCGAAAAAAACAGTGGCGTGTGTTGACACGGAGGCTAATAGACTAATATTTTGCCTTTGAAGTGGGTAATGGGGGCTGATTACAGGCCCACTGGTCTATGCATGCTGTCTGATGCCTAGCGGTTATATGGCACAGCAACCTAACACTCTCTTCCTGTGTTCCTTCATGCTCTCCCTCTCTGTTTTGTCTCTGTCTGTCAGTTCTGCCCTTCAGCCTTTGAGTTTGCTCTCCCCGAGCATCCCTCTTTCATTTTGCATCTCTTTGTCTCCATCTGTCTCCCTGCTTCACGTCTCCTTCGGCTCCTGCCCCCTCCTGCTCCGTTTGCCTTTCACTCGAAACCCTCAATTTATTCACCGTTGTTTTATTTTCTGTCTGAAATGCGAGTGTTTTTCTTTCTTGTTGCAGTGGTCCTACGGATTCTACCTCACCCATAACCAGGGCCAGAGCGGCTTTGAATTCTTCTTCAAGACCAAAGAGCTGAAAAAGAAGTGGCTGGAGCAGTTTGGCATGGCCATGTGAGTGTGTTTTTTTCTGTGAGCGCACGTGTGTGTGTGCGTTCATGCGCCACAGTGTGATAAGAGAGTGTCTTTGTCTCTTCTGCCTTTAGTCAGAACATCAAAACGCACACATTGTCTATCCTGTTATTCAAGTTTGGTTACTTGATGATTTATGAGGCACGAGGCACGAGGCACGCGCCACTGTGACAAAAAGATGAGCAGATTATAAGTCACACACCTACTTTCGACCTGACACAAAAAAACATTTTTAATACAGTTTTTTTATAAACATTTAGCACTTTATATACTCAGAGAACACAAGTGATTGAATTGAATTGCAGTGCCATGTGTATGTAGTTAAACTGCATCAACCAGTCCGCATCCTGAACTGGATCCAAATTCACCTAAACTGACAAACTGGTGCCAAGAGTGACAAATGGAACTATTGCATTTCACCTGCAGAGCCAAGAAGGAGTAGTCTTTCACAGAGTTGACAGGCCAGTTGAGTTGTATTGGTTGTAGTACATTTCTAGGTATTAATAATACTATAGTAACTGAAGTCCAAAACACAATTCAAACAATATTGGCCAAAAGTGTGCATATGATTTTAATGAGAATATAAAACAGGAAAGTTCGTATACAACAGGACGGTTTGTGAAGATGTGGCCTTTAAGCTGAATTGTTGTATGAAGCTCGCAGTTGATCTACAGTAGGGGGTCAGGAGTCTGACAAAACTCCACTCCCTCATTTCAAACATCACGACCAAAACGTGAACAGGAATTTGTCTTGTGCTTACAAATAATACAACAGGTGCAGTAGGAGAGTTGTATTATATCCTCTGTGACTCTGGAAAAGCTGTGTAAAGTCTAAGAAATTACCCTGATGATGTTCTAGTGATGTCTTCAGGGTTACATGGGTTTGGTACAGGAGACCGCGATATTTTAACAGAAACCGTTGTTACAGACTGAAGGTGTGGAGTTTGAAAGATGTGTATAACAAAAAGACACTGTAGACCTTCATTATGGGAAAGGTAGGATCAAGTATTTGATTCTAAAAGTCCAATTATTTTGGCCTCTGCTGCTTTGATTCCAGCTATTATTTAAAAATGTAAAATCTATTTCTTTAGAAAAAAACATTCCTTGTATCTGACACGGATGACAATCCTCCACATCCTCCCAGTCCTCCGTCTCCTTTCACAAGAGCTGAAATACTTGTTATTATATCCATGGATATGCCGCCAGTGGCATCAGTGACAATTAGTTAAGAGCAGTGGGGCTCTCAAGCAGGTGCAATTACACTAATATAGATATAAAAATAAAAACTGAGAAAAAATTAAAATCTGTGAAATAACAAAGGAAAGCAACAGGCCTTAACAGGAAGTGAAGAAGAGGATTAGGAAGATGAAGCCCGGTGCGATGTGAGACTGAGAAAGAAGGGGCTTTGGTTGATTCACTTTTGGGGCTGATTTAACTAGCTGTGAGAATAGAAAGTCGTTGCCAGACAATCACACAAAAGCGCTCCCACGGCGATGCTTAATAGCGGATCTGCGAACAGCAGTGAGTGAGCACTCCATCCTTGAGAGTCAGAAGAAGACTGAAGACAGAAGTCCGTAAAATTCAAGCGGCTGCCTCTTAGCAGACTCTACAGAGTTGCATCGGACATCTTTAAAAGCTTCAGCATACAGACAAATAGTGGAACTGGAAGAGGCCAGTCATATCTCAAAGTCAAGTCTGAAGGAAAAGGAAGCTCAGGTTTTTTTTGTTGTTGCCATAAGCTATAGCAACGTATTCAGTATTTTTCAGTGTGATGATTTCTATGGTATATGCAACTTATAGTTAACAACAATCTTCCCTAGAAAGCGTAGATATTGGCTGATCCCAGTACAGAGGAGATGACACCACTGAAGGTCTCTTTTTTCTTCTTTAACACTTCCTTCCGTCTCGGCGCTGTTTGTCCTATTTTCCAGAGAACATGCTGTAGCCCTTCAGTTTGACTAATCGTTTGAGTTCCAAAAGTAGCACCTGTGCATATTAAGCAAAATGCTTTTGCAACAATGTCATCATGTCTAGCTAGCATAACACTGACAAAACAAAGGACCGACCTCTTAAATTTGAAAAAACAGGCCTTTGTGCTACAGGAAAACTTGGGCCATCCTGTCTTTTTCTTTCTCCAACACACACACACACACACACACACACACACACACACACACACACACACA